TCTATTCTCTGCCTCCTGAATCCCAGTTGATCAGGAGGTAATGGGGATTTTGCAATAACTTTCCCCTGGAGTAGGGTGGGAATGGAGATTTTACAGTATTCTTCCCCTGACATGCCCACCAAGCCACGCCCAAAGAACCAGTAGTAAAATTTTTTGAATCCCACCGCTGAGTTGGAGATGGTCCAGACAGACTTGGTAAGAAATTTATTTTACATTTATTTGATGTGGAAAGATGGTACTTTTTTGATAATGTCAACGTCGTTCCATGGCAAACTGGCTCTAAAATTATTTTTTCATAATTGTACCTGTAATAAAATTGATATGCAGTAAAGCAAGAAAAAACTTGTTGCCTAAGAAAATGATTTTCAGGTAAATACTGCATTGTTTAAAGCTCGAAAGAGACATACGGTATGCCCTCACAAAAGTTTCTTCTATTTCTCCCAGGCTTGCCAGATATAATCCTTTACTCCAATTTATAAGCCACTCACATCACATGCCCAATTTGTTAGCAGGAATCTTCTACTTGGTCCAGAAGGGATTAATTGGTTTTCTTGAAGCTCATGCTACGCCTTGTAACCATCTCTAGATTATAATTCAAATATGCACACCTTCTTTCCATTGCTTTTTCTGTGTCCAGTTTCCCAATCATATATTAACATTGGAAAGGCCGTTGTTTTAAAAGAACTGCTGTTTATTTTCATCCAGATGTTTTTCTCCTTCATGACATTGTCTAAATCTTTGCCATTGTGTTTCTTCCTAGGATAAATCTCTTATTTACTTCTGCATCCCATTATTTATTCTGGAGATCCAGAAAACAAAACTACGTTGTGTCTTCATTCCTTGAAGATTAGCTATCCGTTCTGTAAATATGCAGGCTGACATTATCAAAATTTAAGATAAAGGATGTTTTGTTTTCTATTTTTCATTTTCATAATGAACTTTTCTAAACCTTAGTTACGGTTAGCTATCAAAAGCTGCATTTTGTGTACCTCAAATTGTGATTGTTTCAACTTACATATTTGGTTCCAGCTATTAACTCTTATAAACCAGTTTTAATATATTTGTCATGTGAGTTAATATGATAATTCAGGTAGTCCTCGACTTACAACAGCTCATACAGTGACCGTTCAAAGTTACAACAGCATTGAAAAAGGTGACATGACTGTTTTTCACAGTTACGACCGTTGCAGCATCCCTACGGGATCAAAATTCAGATGCTTGGCAACTGACTCATATTTATGATGATCACCTGGGATCCTGGGATCATTTGATCACCTTTTGTAATCTTATGGAAAAGCAAAGTCAATGGAGAAGTCAGATCCACTTAACAACCTAGGTGCTAACTTTACAACTGCAGTGTGTCAGGCCTGCAATTATATTCCTATTAGAATTTTGGCCTGCCACACTTTCTCTTATTTCATTATGCTGTTTCATTAGTATAGTCAATGGGAGGGGGAAATAGAAGGAGTAGGATTGTGGAATGCATTGTTTTCATTCTTTACTAGAAGCCATCCTTTGTCTCCGCACCAGTACACCTGACCGGAAGCAGCTGGGTGGCGACGCCAGCGTGGA